CCCCCCGTCGACGTTCGCCCCCCACCCCAGCGCACACCTCCCTTTCCTCCTCGCGGCCGCCTTTCCTCCCTCGCTCTCTCCTCTTGTTGGTCCGCAAATCCACACCCCCTTCTCCCTGGGACTCCGCCACGCCTGGGCACCCGGCCCTCGTGGTCACCCAGCCCTCCTGGTGACCCGCGTTGAAGTTGGTGTCTTTATTGCCCCCCCTTCCACCTGTGCGGCCAGGCCCTCCAACTTATGTGCTGCGTTGACCTCTTAATTCCCAGCATCTAAAGTCCAGATTCTCTGTCCTAGGGTGTGGTCTTAGTTTGTTTCCCAAACACAGAATTTCTACTATAATTACCCAAATCTGTGACTGTCAAACTGTAGTGGAAGTGGCAGTTGCTCTGTGTGTGTGTGTGTGTGTGTGTGTGTGTGTGTGTGTGTTTCTCTGGCTATTCTGGGCCATACCACATATCTTCTCTCTTTTTTTTTTTTCCTGGAGGAGTATCTATGATGGATTAATTTCTATGATGGATTAATTTCCTCTGAATGTAAAATTTGGCAGAAGATTGTTACTCTCTCTCCTGCTCCGCATTCCTCCTCGCTGTGTTCCGGGACTGATTTGCAACATTACCTGTTAATACTGTTTGTTTCTGAGACTTTTTCTTGTCTCATCTGTCAACAGCAGTTATTGAGTGTCTCCTGGTGTGCCAAATACTGATGAAATGCCTGAATTCTTGCAGTACCAGAAAGTGCTGTTCTGGATAAGACAAAGATTTTTGGAATTTGTTTACACTTTTTTCCCCCCTCGTGTAAATTTATTGTTTGCCGTCTTTTTACTCCTTAATCTTTATGTGAAAAATGTATATCAGTCAATTGTGTTCTTATAATCTGGCAATTTGGCAGACTGACATTCCAGAGGAGGGTTTTATATAGCTAAAGGAATTTCAATCAGTTGGGTGTTTGGGGACTTATTGCAAATCATTCTAGGCTAATATACCTCAAGAAAAATACACTGATCCTTTTAATTCTTTAATTGTATTTAATAATAGAAACAGAAGCTTTGTGCCTAGAACAGCTTGATAATTGGGGCTTATTTGATAGCCCGTTTGTAAAGTGTTGCATTTAACTAAAACTGCCTGATCGGCATTCATAAAATGAAATGACAGCACTTTTTTTTTTCCATGTGACATGCGTAGTCCGTAATAATGAACTCCAAGGAAAGTTCTTAGTCCTGAAGTACACCTACCTGCCCATCAGTAAAATGGTTACCAGTATTAGTAGCATTTTCTAACAGTCCTTCTTCTGGGAAGTGGATATTAAAAAGGCACTTGGCTGATTGTCCCTGTTTAGGTTTTGGATAACCGCTCTAGCAGTAAGATTTCTTAACTCATAGTCAAGATTGCATTTTTTTGGCAGAGCAATTTTGCTGGATAATGTTTTTTAAATTCCTTAAAACTTGAACAGTTCTGTAGCTGCCTCAGAGGAAACTCTTACTTTGTAAACTGTTACAGAATATATACTGTGAACTCTAGATTATTTGATAATTGGATAGAGGCTAGATTTTTCTCTCCTAAGAAAGTGGTTGATCAAAGGGAGGCATGATTAGTAAATTGATTCTAGTTGCCCCAGCAAAAATATAATTTTAGATGCTGAGTACAACTAAGTGAATGTAGTTTATTTCTGATAGATGACAGATGACTTTTAACATAATCAAACTTAAAACTCATTTCTCTGAAACTTTCCCCAAAAATGGGAGAAAAAATATGTTAAGTAGTGTCACTCTTGAGATTATCTGACGCATATTTCAAATGGTCATTTACCTTTATTTAGTAAATGATTGATTGAGGAGTATAGAGGGATGCTTATTTCATTTTACTGCTTGTTTCCTTGGGGAAAATACTGGACTGTCACTTATGAGATTACTTAACTCATTAAGTATTAACTGTTAGAGCCTGTAATTTTCTCTTTCACTGTTTAAGGAAAACAAAATTATAATATTTGGGAATATTTAATTCTATTGTTAGTGGCATGCCCACTGTTATTTTTGGTCTCTTCTTTTCTGTCACCAGAGTTTAGCACAGTGCCTGCCTGGTGCACAGCAGATACTCAATAAATGTTGTGAGTAATTGAATGAACGGCAAGGTCAGAGAGTTTTCAACTGTAACATCATTTTGTAATTATCGGGTGAAAGTTTTGGAAAAAGATGTTGATTGCTCTCAGCTGTGGTTTCTCCAGTAGCTTGTATATTTTGAGGATTCATATATTTGATTATTTAAGCTGCTTTGAGATCTTTGGCGAGCAAGTACAATAGACATGTCATTTTGTGTTATGTTTTAGTTCATTGAATGGATTCGTTCACTTAGAATGGATAGTTGATATATGTGTCTTGTCAGCATTCATCAGCAATAGTCAATTCAGACAATTTCTTATGCATTTAAGGTTTCTAAAAGTAAGCATAAAAATTTTTTGGGTGCATAAGGTCATCCTATGTTATGATCAGTTCACTAAATTAGGTTAATTTTTCAAGGAATATTTTTTCGTTTAGCAAAAATGAAAGGTATAATCCAATAATATGACAATGGTTACTTAATATTTCAGTCATGATGATGATAATGTTAATAGTAACCGACACTTAACATAGTGTTTATTGCCAGGCAGTGTTCTAAGACACTTAATCTTTACAACAATCCTGTTAGGTAGGTAGTTAGGTATTAGTATTCCCATTTCACAGACTAGGAATCTGAGGTTAAGTAACTAGAGACATAGCTACTAAGTGATAGAGCTGGATCTTGGCTCTTATTATTATACTGTAATATTGAACACCTACTATATGCTAAGTTCTTTATATACATTAGATTAGTTGTATGACAACCCTGCCAGGTGTGGGTTCTTAATTAATTCCTAATTAACGTTAGGAAAGCAGGGCTCAGAGAGCTCAGGTAACTTGTCCAAGTGTGCCCTCAAATAGGATGAAGAAGGCTGTCATTTGAGCCCAGGCCTCTGTGACTTGTAGTCTTTACTAAAGTTCTATTTCAAAGTACTAATTTGAGCTCCTATATTTTATATTACATATTTAGAAGGCATACTTAAAACAGCAAATCGCAAAACTTTCTCAGCTGCCACACAAGATGGATAATGTTCACTTGTTCTCTGCGTGAGCATATGCAGGATTATAATTTCCTGCTCACTAGCTGTAGCTTTACCCCGTCTCACTCATGCAAGTGTCTTGGAATGCAACTGAGTGACATTTGTACAACTTTGTAAACAAGGAAATCATTCTTAGAATTTTGGTTCTGTAAATATACACATTTCTTGTGACACATCCTGCATCCTGAAAGTGGTACCATGGGTGAGAATGCCTATTTTCCGAGATATTGGGTGATTTTATTTAAGTAGAAGACCTAATGCAAAGATATTTTTGTAGCTATTTTATTTATTTTAAAAGATGATGTTCAATGGTGCTATTTTATGCAACACTGTGAAGCTTTCAATCCTGCACAGTTATTTTCTGCCATGCAAGTAATCTCTGCTAGATGTCTTCTAGATGGTGCATTATGTCTGGTATATATTAAATGTAGACTGATACACATGCTTTTCGTTTTCGCTGGCCTAGACTACTACTTCCAGTCATAAATTGGCGTGTTCTCAGATAATCCAAATTACACTGAATACTGATTAGGTCAGAGAATTTCAGAAAACACTTTTTATGAAAAGAATTGTAATATATTCCCAGATATTATTATTTGGGGATTCTTTATGCCATTTCTCTGTTTTTAGTGAGGGTAATAGAGAATTGAAGGCAGTAATTTAAATGAAATTTGAGATTTACTAGGTCTTGAAGTGGACTTTTGTAGTTTGTTGATTTGTGCTCTTATTGATTGAGAGATTCTACTCACTGTAAAATTTTAGTATGTATGGACAAAAATATTGCATTTAAGCCCTGATTTGCTCTTGTCTGGTAGTGTGAAGATTCTCAGATTATAAAATGGGAATAATAATGTCTCTGCTGTGTGCCTCACAACATTCTTGCAAAATGTTTATACTAATTTTTGTGCAACATAATAGGGAAGATAGAATATAATTTCATTAAAGTGACGCATTTCTAAGTTGAATGATCATTAAAAATTTTTTTGTTTTTGATCATCTATTTCTTTGACACCTGGCACAATACTTGGTATATGATTGCCATTAATCACCCAAATAGTTATTGAGCACATAAGCAGGGTTATGTAACAGTGAATAAAATGTTAGTGGTCCCTTCTTACGGTAGCTTGGAAGATAGAGAAAAACAGACAATGTGAATTCAGTGCTGTGTGTTCCACAGGTACCGAATCTTATTTTAGAGTCAGGATAAAAGCCCATGTTGTAATGCCATCTAAACTAAGACCTGAAGAGTGGACTGTAGTCAGTCAGGCAAAAGAGAGAAAGCATGGTTGTAGAAAGAGAGAAAGGCAAAAGCCTGGACATGAGAGGTCATGTACATTTTTGAAGTGGATACTGGTTCTGTGTGGCTGTAATGTAAGATGTAAAGGAGGTATGGGAAAGAGGTAGACAGTAGATTGTGAGGCAGGCTACATGAGTCATGTTAACAAGTTCAGGTCAGTTTGGACTTAAAGTTATAGAGAAACCATTGTAGGATTTTAAGCAGGGAGAGAGTGGAATACTCAGGTTTGTCCCTTCAGAAGATTTGTTTTGACAGCT